CTAAAAGATCTCTGATACTAAAATTAACATTTAGCAGCTCGAAATGCTCAATGCTTGTAAAGACACAGCTTAAAATACTGTGATATTTGCAGCAAAATGTGGATCTACACGCTATTGACTCCATGGAACTGAACTGATCTCATTGTTTTAAGACTTTTTTGTAAATGAAACTTTTTTTTTTTTTTTTATAGTGTCCTGTCTGGCAATGTGGCAATTTGAATAATTGTCTTGATGCCAATAAGAGCCCATCAGATTTTACTTTCACAAGTGGAGCTGTAGGGCTATTGCCATAGTGTTCAGCTTGATTCATGCATATAAATTACTTTATTATAATTATGCAGGGAGTTTTACAGATTATATGGACACTGCAATGTAAGTAGAACAAAAGAGGAAAAAACTGAAAAAAAAGGAGAAAATATGAAAGAAAGAGGAGATAAAAGGTAGATAATGATAAAACATTTTCAGTCTGCTTCATCACCTGCAAAGAGATGTAAGAAGAACAGCACAACCAACAGACATGGTACGAGACAATAAAGTAATCACCTGAAGTATAAGTAGTATTATTTAATCTGCCATGTACTCTGTGTTACCTGAAGATAAGAATATGGGCTTTCTGTATGGAAGTGAACCTCTCAGTACCTGGAACCGAGAACCTGTAGTTGAATGAAACTTTTAAAAATGTGTGTTAATTCATGGTTTTAAAATCAGAGGGAAAAAAAAGCATGTAGGAATGACTTCTTTGCCAGGTACGGTAAGTAGAATAATTAAATATGTTAAATATGTTTTCTACAAGGAATAAAAAAATGGAAAATCTATTAATTTGGACGTATTACAACATCACCTAATGTTATCTGTTGTCAGATGATCCCCGTGAACTGATCCATGAGACTATTCTCGTGTCAGTTCTATTTTGACAACAGTCGGGTGGTGCTGTGGGTGTTGTTCTAACTCAGGTACCTCCAACTATTCTAAGGTAACATTTCAGCCTAGGAGCCGATAAAAGACAATTAGATGATTATTCTAACTTTTCATTGCTTTAACAATGAATAGTTTTGGGTTTCAGAGAGAATTAAATAACTGCTCCCTGAAGGTTTCTCTCATTATTTTTGCTTCTACTTATCGAAACCGGGTTATTGTTAATGCTGTAGGCTTCATGTTGCAAATATTATGCTGTGTTGCCATGAAACACAACTCCTATGACATATTCAGACTTCATATTTCAATAAGATGCGTCAGAACCTTCTAAAGTTTAGGGCATATGGTTACAAGTACGTTCTACCTTTAAAAGATCCAGGCAGCACAAGAGCTGTCTCTGTAATGTTAGCATTGTTCTGAAGCCTGTTTCAAAGAACTCCTGTATTGTTAGTAGTCAGCTCTGGAACGTCAGCTGGTTACCTTTGTTCTTTGAACTCATAACTTTGAAATGTTTGACCTGAGTCACATACATTTCCTTTTTTTAGTTGCAAAGCAAACATCTTTCACCCAGATCAAGCAACAGCTGCAGTGCAGGGATTGGGCGACTGCACTGAAGACATTTGGTCGTAGCCAAAAAAAGGTTTGATCCGTGTAGTTTGACAGGTGCCTGGTTTTCTTGGTTTCCCTGTATGTGTCCTTCAGTGGCGCAAAGAAGGAGAGAATAAAAGCAGCTGTGCCGTAACGTTTGCTCCAGAGGGACTCATGTTCAGCTCCTTCTTTTTTAATGTTACTTTCTGCACAGATTTAATTTCATTCTTCTTTTGTGTGGGTCCTCTTTATAGTCCTGCATTCATCAGGCAGATAAAGAGGTAATCTGAGCTCTTAAACCATTAAATTCTATTTGTTTGTTTAATCTGGTGAACTATAGAATGCCTTGAGACAACAAGTGTTATGAATTGGCGCAATAAAAATAAATTGAATTCAATTGAAAAGTAGAATGTTAGATGAAGGAAATGTAAGTATTTGGTTGTTAACAAAATACATGAATTTTCTTTATCAAAAATAATGATAAGAATTGAACTTTATTGATCTCACATCGGAGAAATTTACCTCTGCATTTAACCCATCCTCTTGGGGAGCAGTGGGCTGCCGTTGTGCAGCGCCCAGGGAGCAGTGTGGGGTGAAGGGTCTTGCTCAGGGACCCAGAGGGGCAGTCTGTAGGAGTGGAGCACAAACTCATGACCTCAGGATTCCAAGCTCTATGCACTAACCACTAGGCCACCACTCCCTAACATATATAGATGTTGCTGTGTCACATATATTCGTATTCCCAAACCTTTTCAGTGGGGTCTCTTCAGTCTATATTAGAACTACATTTATTGTCTTCTAGCCTGTGCACATATATATAAATATATATAATAATTTTTAATATCTATAATGTTTTGGTCCTAATAAACATTCTTAATTTCAAAGAAACTGCATTTGAGTGTAGACCAGCAGTAGCCTTCTACCCACCTAAAACGTAACAGCGGTACATTTAATAAAACTTTCCATCAAGCATGATGACATAACATGGCACTAAAGGGTAAGTTGGTTGTACTAATTAATAATATTCATAATAATATGGTCGATTCTTAGTGTGAAATTGAGCATGATTACATATCATGTTGCTTGTAAAATAACAATTTACTCCTTTTAATTCCTTTTGGCAATTTGGAATCTTTTATTTTACTCATCTCTGCAGAATATATGGAGTGGAGACAACTACTGGGTCACACAACTGACTCAAAAAAAATGAAATAAAATTCTTTAAAAAATCTGAGCACCAATTTTCTGTTTCAGTTTTATATAATTTGTAAGCTACCCAATGTACAAGCCTGCCTGGTCAATCATCTCATCTTGGATGCTTTGCTGCAGGTCAAACTTTTAATAACCCACATGTCACAATTGTGGCATTACATTAAATTAATTAAACATAGCAACAGCAGTCTAACAAGATTGTTACACCAAAAAAAAAAAAAAAAAAAATCAAATAGTGTTAGATTTTTTTTCTTTGTGTTCAAGTTAATGTTTTGGTCTGCTGGATGCACTGTCTACCATTTTGCGCCAATGGTAAGCCCTGATGGCAGGTGTTCACATTCACATGTTCGTGCATGTAATCCCTCCCGGGCGCAGGGGCAGAGCTAGATGGGGGGCCAGGGGTGGCCATGGCCACCCTTATCTAATCATTGGCCACCCCTGTGGCCACCCCTACCAATTGTCCCTCTAATACAGACGGTGGCAGCAGTAATACTCACAAGTGGAATGTTCTAAATTATTTAACATTTAAAATTTTTCATATGTTAACAGTTTCTTGACAACAAAAACACTGTGGTTAATTATGCACATCAATATACTAAAATTAAAGATGATAAATTCAGGAATCATGCTCTTATTGAAATGAGATTTTGCCTTCTGGGATGAAGAGAGAATTATGTCTTTGCAAGTCATCTATGAGCCTACAGTGAAATCAGAGATAAATAACTATCTAAATAATAAGTAATCCATTTAATGTAGATATTAGTACATCTAAATATGAATGTTATTCAGAACGACTGTTGATAAAAGTAGGAAAGCAATGACAATGAATAAGATGTTCACCCCAGAAGGCTGTAGGAAATTATAGTTAATCTTTATTTAGAAAATATGGATGTTGAAGTTGTTCATTTTCCTTTTGAAACAGTGTATATTCACCCCGAGCTTCTCGTACCTATCCGCTTTTTGCCACCTCTCCAACCCCCACCCAGTGTACATTGGTTATTCCCTGCCCACCCTTATTAAATTTTTCTATGCCTCTGCCCACGCCTCTGCCCAGGCGGCCCAGCAATTTAAACAACAGAGTAAGTGTGAATAAAAACATTTTGCTCTTAACAAAAATATTTTTAAGTTGGTTTTTTTTTATCTAAAATAATACATTTTTACTTGTCGCTCCATTAAATTACAAAAAAAAAGATTTCTGATTAGCTGCTTAACTACTCAGATGCACCTGTTAACCCTAAGATCGATGGTGGAAGGATCACACCTTTGGAGGAGCAGAGGCGCAGCCAGAAATTTTTTATAAGGGTGGGCAGGCAATAACCAATGTACACTGATGGGTGGCCGATAGTGGATAGGCACCAGAACCTCACGGTCAATCTACACTGTTTCAACAGGAACAAGCAAAATGTCCATATTTCTAAATAAAGACTAACTATAATTTCCTAAAGCCTTTGCTAACAAATACAGTCATATATTTAAATATCTTTCTAGATAAAAGGTATATTGGATAAAACTCTTTCAGGTTTCTGGAGTGAACATCTTTTCCATCGTCATTTCTTACCTACTTTTATCCCTATCATTCTGCATTAAATTGATATTTACAAGTACTAATATCTACATAAATAGATAATTTAATAGTTTTTTAAATTAAAATAGTTATTTACAGTATCTATGATTTTACTGAAGACTCTTAGTTAACTTGCAGAGACATCTAATTTTCTCTTTACTGCATATAACACAAAATCTAGATCTAAAAGAGCATGAATTCTGTACTAATTCTATCTCTAATGTTGGTATATTGACGTGTATAATTAACCACAGCGTTTTTGTTGTCAAGTACTTGAGAGAAAAAAATGGTAGGGGTGGCCAATGATTGGCTAAGGGTGGGCATGGCCACCCCTGGCCCCCATCTAGCTCCGCCCCTGACAGCATCCTTGGTGTGTGTTTTTTTTCTTGAAACTGGCCCTTCAGGATGTGTGTGGCCTGTCACGCTGTTTCTCCCGACCTTCCTGCTACGCGGTGTTTGTGCTTCACTGAAATGGCATGTAAACTGGTTTGTAAACATGTTTGAGCTGTCAGTTTCGGCGTAAAAGCTCCGACTCTCATTGGTTGGTGGGTCCAGTCGGCCATAGCCACACCTGTGCGCCAAGGTAAGACATTCAGAACCCAGAGTAAAACCTCCCTAATTAGTTTGCGTATAGTATGTATGTATGTATGTATAGACGCGTATTTTCACGCGTGGCCGGAGTGGAAATGAGGGCAGCAGGTTCATGTATTGTTGTGATGAACAGAGCGGTGAGCTGGAATGATCAGATTTTCTAGAGTGCAATTATCAAACTCTGCAATTGAACACATTACAGAGAGGACTGCAGCTGAACAAGGAGGAGGCCTTTAGGACACACTCATGCGCAGGACATCATCCTCCCACTGAGTCAGAGAACAATCAGTCTACAGAGATAAATGCCAGATTCTCCTCCTTCCAGCCTCACACTGCACTCTGTCAATGCTGTGACTGGACAAACAGGATAAAAACCAAACAAAAAGGTAAGTAACTGCATGTTTTCATCTATCTGAGCTCTTTTATGCTCATATTAACTCAGAGGATGTTTCTTTAGATTGGATTTTTTTATTTTATTTGGATGTTGTAAAAGTGTTTAATGATTTTCATGAATAATATCTGATTATATCTGGTATGGAAATAGATTCATATTACTTTTGCTGACAGCTATAGTACTCAGCAGCCTGTAAGAACAATGACTACACACGCTAAATAACCACAAAAACTACTTCTGTTTTTAACTGTGCTTTTTGAATGAATTAGAAAACAGTAAATATTTAATGTGTTTTTTTGTTAAACAAATGAGGATTTCAGAGATCTGTTAGTGTATATGTGTGTGTGTGTGTGTGTGTATATATATATATATATATATATATATATATATATATATATATATATATGAGTCATTAATTTCTGTTAACTTAGAATGACTTACAAGGTATGAAAATAAAAAAGTCCACATTATGCAAAAGTCCCAAAAGTTTTTTTTGGAAAAGGAGCTGGTTATTCACAGAGTACTGATGGAAGGTTTGGTGAAAGAACAATCCCTTGACATACCAGTGATGATGAGGATAACTGCAGCTTTTCTAGTCTTAAATCCCTCCTTAGGGAAGACACAACCAACCACTGCCTTGCTCAAAGACAAGAAAGGTCTTAGTGGTTGAAATACCTTTTTGGATGTAAAAGTACATTTTGCTTTTTTTGCCCAAAAATCTCAATAGAAGTTTTTTCTTTGTTTTCTTTTTTTGACGTGTAGAACTCCTTGAATGACACCCTTTTTAAATGATTTCTATTTAGTTTAGAATCCCATTTAGATTTAATTAAAGAATTAAACTAGCACTTTAATTTCTTCTAACTAAAACTAATACCTAAAGGTTTAGCAACATCATACTACTCCTGTGTTGCATAAATATATTTCTAGACAAGCTAACCAAAATATTTCATTATAATCAAACTCTTAATGGTTGCAATGATTCTGTTTTTAAACTGAATGAATTAGAGAAGCTTTTTGTAATCTAAATTTATACAGATGTTTGCTGTCAGTGCTAACTAAATAAGTTATATTCTGTATAAAGCTTTGTTTGATAATTTCCTTACAGCATCATTTGTATCTGAAAGGACTCTACCATTTATAATGTGGTGTTTTTCATTACCCACAGATTTAAATATTAATCCAACGGCTGAAACAAGAAGAGTGCCAGTTCCCTCCCAAACGCAGATGAGACAGCAGGTGTGGGAGATCTCCAATGAGAGGTGTGTGGGCCTGTGAGCGTGACCGACTCAGAGCGGGAAATGAGGACCACTCTTCCTTTGTGCAGAGGCGATGATGAAGCCGGTGGTCACCAGCGAAGCTTCAGCAGGGTGGGCTGGATGAAGAGGCTACTATGGCTCAGATCCAGTCAGTGTGGGGGCGTCCACATGGACACGGAGCCCGGAGTGTGGCTGAGGAGCTTCCAGTTGCTGGATACAGATGGACAACATGAGGTAACGATGGATTAAGGTTGCTTTCATATTCTAAAAGAAAGTCTCTGAGAAATACCTGATTTTTGTTGTGTAATTTTTAAATATCCAAACATTATAAGTTGTTTCTTCACTAAAACTGCTAAGCATGGGAAATATTACAATAAAAACACAATATTAACACATCTTTAGTTCTAACCATCACATTTATTACATTTTTTTTTTCTTTAGACTGTCCAACATTAATGTGACTTTCTTATGGGCTATTTTATCTGATTATTTAAGCTTTTTTTTTATTTGTTCCTGTCTTTAAGGATGTAGAACAAAGGTCAGTTTGTGGACATATTGCTGGAATAACTCATACATTGAGTGTTAAACTTCTTATTTGGGAGGATCAGTCCCTGATCTCTACCCTTGTGGAGATGCTAAGGGGGTTCTGGGAGTTCAGGGGTGGGGTATACTTTTGTGTTGTGGTTAGTTGTTTCTGGAGTACGAGGTGCTGGCAGGGCTTTAAATGCTAACCAGGGTCTGCCTGTATCAAATAAAGGAGCAATGTCTATAGCACATTGCAGCATTGAGTCTTGCAGATGTTGGGGTCCTGTTGAAGGAACGACCTTCAGCACTGCAGTGGTGAGGTCAAGGGTGAAAAATATGGATCACTCCCACTAGATCAGAGGTCAATCTGTGCCTTGCACAAAGGTTATAAGGTCTTGTTTGTCCTTTTTTTTTTTTTGGAATAAAGGCGGCTAAACAGTGAACCACAGCTGACGTCATGGATCATGACTGAAAGAATAGATCTCAGATTTAAAAAGGATAGATCTCAGATTTACAGAGAACTCAAACGTATCATTGCCCTTAGACAGCAGGACAGAGTTTGGGTATCGGATCAGGATGCTTCCCTTTGGAGGTTTTCCAGGGACATTTATTAGGGAGGCGCACAGGCAGGACCCAGACTTGACCAAAGAGACCATATCCTGTTTGACCAGAAAGCATCTTGGGATCCCCTAGAATGAACTGGGGATCTGGGGGTTTGCGTTGGTAACCCAGTTCACTATATTTTTATAAGTCAATACCATAAAAAGTCATGGTATATGTTGATAACACTAAAGGCAAAGGATAGCAAAAATATGGCAGAGACATTTTTTTTTCCTTTTGTCAATTTCTACTCAAAGGGTATACATTTTTTATGTCTAATTTAATTTAAAATTAAACATTACCTTATACCTCTATCATTGTTCCTAAATATTGCCCTTCAGTTTACTCTCTAGCTATTTTTTCTATGTTCTACAATGATATCACAATCATTAGAGATGCAACCACATTACCTTAAACTCAATGCTGATTAAATTATAGGAAATTACTTCAAATTCTTTTCCAGATGGCAGGTAAAACAAAGACATATGAATTGATGTGTGGTTGTACAGGAACATTTTGTTCCAAAATAATTAGGAAGAAATACAACCAAAGCTGTAAAATGATGTAATGTTGAAGGGTTGAAACAATCAGCAATACTCTTTTTTTTTTTTTTTTTTTGTATGATTATGGATAATTACAATAATTATTATTTTTTTTAAATCATTGTTTTAAGATTAATGCAGTGTGAAATACATTTTTGTGATATTTACACTAATCAGTACGGAAGGCTATAATTACAAAGGCTGGATAATAATGCATTTTCCCCTTGGTCTGGTCATGGAACATCCAGTATTGCATAATTGCCTATTTTTGTTGCTGTGAAAAAGGCAAGGAAGTAAAAATCTGAAGATATTCCAGGAAGTTCTTTGATATTTATTTTTTCCTACATTGTTTTAGGTGAGATAAATCTGATTGGTTTTCAGCAATGCTTAACCCAATGCTTAACATTTATATTCCAACCAGAATACAAACTTGGTATACTACTTTACAGTATTTGAGCGTATTAGGTCAAGCTCTTGATGAGGTCAGACCTAACAGGAACAAATGAATGCCGGTAACTTTTAATATTGCACTATATTACCATGAGACTCTGAGCAGATTGTAACCCTGGTGACATTGGTGGTTTCAGGCACTAAGGATAGCCTTAGCCTGAGCTTTACACTGATCCCTGATCAGTTTTGCTGCACTTCATTACAATGCTGTATAGTCTGCTTCTCTTCCTTTTCTAAGTGAAGCAAATCAACAAACATAAAAAGGTTTTCCTTAAAATCTGTAACAACATTTAGATTTAGTCTCTGATTGAGGCATCCTCTCATAGACCTTAGTACAAGCTGTATCCATTTATCTTTACAGGTCAAGCAGCTATAAATAGTTGTACTGAGGTATTTGTAATGTACAACCTCTACCTGTCCCTGGATAAGAGCCCGAGCGCAGGGTGGGGACCTCTTTATAAAATCAATTAAAAGTTTGTTATTTTGTTTTCTTTATAAGTAAATGTTTGGAATGTGTGCTCACACATATCATAGTGACGTCTTTCCCCAGTCATGCTCCCATTTCTTGGCCTGCCACCCCATCAACCGTTCATGTGTCTAATTTGTACTAATTGATGTCCTCCCACCACTCTTTTGTCTGGCCTTTTTGAATCGTAGTGAGGCTTAGGGGAACCCGAGAGACAGAAACTCATTAGACAAACAAAACTCTCATTATTCATCTTTTTGACTTAATGAGCGACAGAACCCTGACCCCGTTTAAATCCTCACTGAAGCTTTACAGGCATTTGCTTTTATCACAAGTATGTCAACACATCTATGACGTAAGTGTTTACGATATCATAAAAGGCACTAAATTTAAAGGTTTTCCCATGATGCCATCCCTGGTGTGTCAGAGGAGTATTTTTAGAATCAGAGCAGACCTGTTTTACGTGATAGCTTAGCCTGAACCCTTAAGGTTGTTGGTAGGAATGTAAACAGGTGTCTCCTGAGCACCTTTGCTTTTTAAAGAAAGTTTAACTTCTCACCTGGCTAACTTTGACTGTAGTCATCTATAGTTCAAATTATTATTATTATTTTCAGAATCAAGTAGGTTTGCACTTACAAGAAATTAGTTTTGTCTGTCTGTCTATCTAATAAAACATACAATATACTATATAGAGTATATAGATATATACTATATACACAGTTGATTGTGCGTTAATGCTACGTTGGTGTAGCTTCTAGGTCCTGGACGGGGGAGGGTGAGAGGCAGTGCCATGGGGTCTCTGGGCCTTGTTGATAAGGCTGTTAGCGGATGGGAAGAAACTGTTCTTACTGTACATCTTACTGTTCTTTCTACTTCTTTCAAAGAAGAATATTTCTCCTGGCATAATTAATACTTTAGTACCTGGAACAAGTTTAAAGCTCCAGATACAGTTCGGAGTTGGACAGAACAGAACTTTGGTGCAAAAATAAAATTTTTGCATTTCAGCCTGATCACTCGATTTCAGAGTACTGTCTTGTTGAATGTTGATGGTTTGTTTTTTGCAACTTTTAATACATTTATACAGAGATATCCAAATGAATCATGTTTATTAATCAAGTAGAAGTATAAATTCTACAGTTTAAAAATACTTTTGTAGAAGTTAGAGGAGCAACTTAAGGTTTTACTCAAGTAAAAGTGTAAAAGTACAATTTTTAAAACTACTTAAAGTGTAAAAGTAATGCAGGAAGAATGTTAAGGACGGATGCTTTAAACTTTATAACTGTTATTGCTCTACCTTGTTAAAGGAACATTGTTCTACAATTCTGGANTTTTTTTTTTTTGGAATAAAGGCGGCTAAACAGTGAACCACAGCTGACGTCATGGATCATGACTGAAAGAATAGATCTCAGATTTAAAAAAGGATAGATCTCAGATTTACAGAGAACTCAAACGTATCATTGCCCTTAGACAGCAGGACAGAGTTTGGGTATCGGATCAGGATGCTTCCCTTTGGAGGTTTTCCAGGGACATTTATTAGGGAGGCGCACAGGCAGGACCCAGACTTGACCAAAGAGACCATATCCTGTTTGACCAGAAAGCATCTTGGGATCCCCTAGAATGAACTGGGGATCTGGGGGTTTGCGTTGGTAACCCAGTTCACTATATTTTTATAAGTCAATACCATAAAAAGTCATGGTATATGTTGATAACACTAAAGGCAAAGGATAGCAAAAATATGGCAGAGACATTTTTTTTTCCTTTTGTCAATTTCTACTCAAAGGGTATACATTTTTTATGTCTAATTTAATTTAAAATTAAACATTACCTTATACCTCTATCATTGTTCCTAAATATTGCCCTTCAGTTTACTCTCTAGCTATTTTTTCTATGTTCTACAATGATATCACAATCATTAGAGATGCAACCACATTACCTTAAACTCAATGCTGATTAAATTATAGGAAATTACTTCAAATTCTTTTCCAGATGGCAGGTAAAACAAAGACATATGAATTGATGTGTGGTTGTACAGGAACATTTTGTTCCAAAATAATTAGGAAGAAATACAACCAAAGCTGTAAAATGATGTAATGTTGAAGGGTTGAAACAATCAGCAATACTCTTTTTTTTTTTTTTTTTTTGTATGATTATGGATAATTACAATAATTATTATTTTTTTTAAATCATTGTTTTAAGATTAATGCAGTGTGAAATACATTTTTGTGATATTTACACTAATCAGTACGGAAGGCTATAATTACAAAGGCTGGATAATAATGCATTTTCCCCTTGGTCTGGTCATGGAACATCCAGTATTGCATAATTGCCTATTTTTGTTGCTGTGAAAAAGGCAAGGAAGTAAAAATCTGAAGATATTCCAGGAAGTTCTTTGATATTTATTTTTTCCTACATTGTTTTAGGTGAGATAAATCTGATTGGTTTTCAGCAATGCTTAACCCAATGCTTAACATTTATATTCCAACCAGAATACAAACTTGGTATACTACTTTACAGTATTTGAGCGTATTAGGTCAAGCTCTTGATGAGGTCAGACCTAACAGGAACAAATGAATGCCGGTAACTTTTAATATTGCACTATATTACCATGAGACTCTGAGCAGATTGTAACCCTGGTGACATTGGTGGTTTCA